AATCTAATTAGCCGTTATTATACTAAACAAATTATTTAATTAAAAGAAGCAAGAGTTTAATTATTTACGATAAGATAGCTATTTACAATAATTCCTAACCAATAATGAACTAACAAAACAAATCATTTCACTTATAAATTAAATAAACTCAGTACACTGGTCACTTATATGGAAAACTCTGGAGCATAGTGTAAAGAGTATTAATGGTTTTGAGTGTATTATAGTTCATCTTTTTATACTGTAAATATTTCTAGGAGGGCCACTGGTTTATCAGTAATATCTACTGTTCTGTGTTACCCTCTATTAATACCGGTAAAGTTGGTTATTGTAATAAAATTTATGTAAAAATTATTGTTACCAAAAATGGGACATTCATTAGAGCAAGGCCACTTATAGTCTTTATACCCTTGGCCACTCAGCAAAGAAATGCTGATAATGGAATCAATATGGCTATTAAGTAAAAACTGCGTTGTTATCAGTTTTAATTGGTCCAGCTTTCTCCAGTCAACCTTTCACTAACATCCCACAACTTCTTTCCCAAACCAGGATCTTTGGCAAGTGGATTGCACTCCTTGACTCGGCAATCACTGTAGTAAAGCCCTGAGACACCTTCTAGCTCTTCTGCAACTGAACAGTAGATTGTTGTCTGTGCTCCCTGCTTGCAATCCTTGAAAAATAGGAACATCAAGAGCTGTACTAATGGTTTCACAAAAGGTTTTTGGAAAAGCTTCCAGCATCGCCAGATGTCAGACTTCACAGCACCAGGATGAAGGGCATATACTGTTACTCCAGTACCTGAAGCAAGGAAATTAAGGCATGTTAATTCACTGTACTGTGGCCTAATGATTATTGCACTGGACACTGGTCCAGGTAGTCTAGGTTTGAGCCCCAGCTGCATCATTGTATTGATAGGAGATAATTCTGTTGTGGTATCATAGGGGTCAACAGTGTTCCACATGGGCTGTATTGTGTGTGTAAAACGAACATGGCTGCATGTCGGCCGAGAATAAAGTGTTGTGTTCTCAAAAGCTGTTGTTCCTTTGATGGAAGCTTTACCAGCTGGTCAATAATAAGTGTTGTGTTCTTGGGCAAGACACTTTACTCTTGCACTACTCTTGCAGTACCTTCTCCAGCCAGGGTATAAATGGGTACCAGTAAACCTTGTGATGGACTAGCATTCCATCCATAAGGGAGAAGAAATACTACGACTCACTTCATACTACCATATACAATCATGGTATCAAAAAACTGTCCAATCACTGGTGAATAAATTTGTTATCATTTTTGTGCCACAATAGGTTACCATGGCAACAGTATGACCTGCTAAAAACACCCTTAAATACAGCTTTAGGGGCTTATAACTCAAAAACGGTACGGTGAAATTTTTTTATATTCATTGTCAAATTTTACCATGATTGTAGCATCAAGAGATAAAGAGTGGTTATAATGACCTATCAAAATCTAAGTGCTGGAAACTGTTTTGAGCCACCTTAAAAGCTTGACTTGCAGTTTGTATATCCATATGGCTGCATATGGCCAAGTTCTTCGATTACGTAGATGCAAAAAAGAACTTGGCTGTTTAATACCTTGTAGCCTCAGGTTAATTCAAAGACTTTTCAAATTAGTTGAAGGACTATTGGTAAAACTTCAAGGACTTTTCAAGGAGTATACATTGTATGTGAATTTTGTATGTCACTCATGTGTACTAGTGAAAACTGACAGAGGTGGTTTCTAAGGCATTATAATTCTAATTTATTACATCAAACATACTTGTACATAATGCTCACATGACTTCACTCAC